TAGAAGATTAACCAATCAGTAGCCGCTGAAGATCGTATCCGTCGTGTATAAAGGCGGCCATCTTTGTTTTCCTACCCGGAAGGACCGGAGGCAACTTGTCCGGCGAACATGACAGACGGAAGAACTACGCTCTGCTACTTTGCTGCGATATCCACTGCGAACCTGAACTACGCTTTCCTACTGTCTCCGAAATATTCACTGCCAACCTCTGGATTCTATACTCAAAGACGACCGTCATGAAAATGTCTAACAATTTCAACTTATTTCTTCCAGGTATTCATTAGTTTGAAATGTTAGCAAAACTCGATCTACTTGGAACGGATGTTAGAATACTCCAGAACATATACTGCCTGCATACGGATAGAAAATGAATTGAGTAGACATTCAAAAATAAAAAGGTCCATTAGATTGGGGTGCGTCTTTTCCCGGGATTTATTCAACCTCTACAGCAACACTATCTTAAGGGAATTGGATAAATTACCAGGATTTTTTAATTGGTGGACGCAGTCTTAACAATATAAGATACGCAGATGGTACCGTGTTGATGACCGGCTCTGAAAGGAAACTACAGGGCTTCCTGGACCATGTGACAGAAGAAAGCGCGAAGAAAGGACTAGCCACTAATTGCAAGGAGACAAAAAATATGGTCACCATCAAGAGAAAAAGCCTGAGATGCGAGTTACGAAATGAAAGAAGCTTTCCAAAAGCTAAGCAAGGTGCTATAAAATTGAAAATTTCGTTAGAAACAAAGAAGAGTGCTGGATTTCTATGTGATATCTATCCTCTTATATGGCAACGGATGCTGGACAATCTCCGAACCGATGTGGTACTACTGAAAGACATTGGACATTCTACGGACGAAGCGAAAAAGCAACAAGTCTGTCTTTAAGAAAATCGCAATAGAAAGAAACACTTCTACTCAGAATCAAGAAAATAGAGCTGAAATTCCTTGGACATATAAAGAAGAAGGGCTTGGAAAACGTAAGCCTCACGGCGCATATTGAGGGAAAAAGAGATGAGGAAAGTCTATGTTGGCATACGAAATAAATATTCATAGTACGGAAGAATTTTTGGAAAAGAAAATCAATATCCTCTATCAAATGTTCTAAGAAATAGGACTCAAGATAAACCTTTCCAAAACAGAAACTATGACCTGGAAGTGGAATGGAAGCAGTGATAGCACCTACCCTGATTCCATCATAAAAGCCTAGAACATGGAATTAGTAAATTCTAAACATTTTAAATACCTGCAGTAACGATTAATCATAATAAATTTAGTATTGGAGATAAGTAAATTGAACATAGAATAGAGAGAACTAAGAGCAGTTTTGGCCCGTACAGTAAGTTTCTATAAAAAAAAAATATTAACCTAAAAAATTGTGTAATGTCTAGCCACTTCAAATGGGGACTTTAATATGAAGGTCAAATATGGCGTCAACCTCGCTCAGAAATATCTAAACTCTTAAGTGTATATAAACGCTAAGATCAACGATTAAGAATGTCTTTGAGCAAATGATTATGACGCTTACTGAGGTCATATTTCTTTGAACGCCATTCACCGGTGCTGCAAAACCTCGTTATTTGGCGCTACCAAATCCCTTCATTATCGAAACAGGTTGGCTGGTGCTACATAATGACTTCTATTTGGAACGTCGTTGGGTACCGCTAGAAAATCTCTTTTTTTTTTTCAAACCACGTTGGCTGGCGCTACAAAATCCCTTCGTTTTCAAACCATTTTGGCTGACGCTACATAATGACTTCGTTTTTTAACCACGCTGGCTGACGCTACAAAATCCCTTTGTTTTTTAACCATTTTGGCTGGCGCTACAAAATCCCTTCGTTTTCAAACCACGTTGGCTGACGCTACAAAATCCATTCATTTTCGAGTCATGTTGGCTGACGCTACAAAATGACCTCTTTTCGATCATCTTGGTTTGGCGCTACAAAATGAAGTTTTCTTCTAACCACGTGGGCTGGCGCTACAAAATCCTTTTGATTTCCGAACCATATTGGCTGGCACTACAACTTCCCTTCTTTTTCAATCTACGTTAGCTACCTATACAAAATATCTTCTTTTTCGAAACTCTTTGATTGGTGTTACAATATCACTTTTTCGACCTTCGTTTTCTGGCAATACAAAAAAAATCTTTTTTTTTCGAAATTCGAGGGTTGGCGTTACAAAATACTTTTTCATTTTCGAGCCTCAATGGCTGGCGCTACAAAAAAAAACTTTTTTTTAAACACTAAATTTTCCAAACTGACGCTACAAAATCTTCTCATTTTCGAACTTTGTTGACTGGCGTTACAAACTCCCTTCTTTTTCGAACTTTCAAAGCAGGGGCTTCAAAATCCCTTTTTTTTATAGCTCGTTTTTCGAACATTGTGGGTGGCGCTATAAAATCCCTTCTTTTTCGAACCTCGTAGGCTGTCGCTACAAAATCTCATTTTCGAACCTTGTTTACTGGCGCTACAAAATTATTTATTTTTCGAATCTCGATCGCTGGCGCAATAAAGTCTCTTCGTTATTTAACTTCGATGGCTGGCGCTACAATATAACTTCTTTTTCGAACCTCATCGACTGACGCAACAAAATTCTATCTGTTTCGAACATCGTTGGGTAGTGATACAAAATGCCTTCTGTTCCGAACCTCGTGGGATGGACATGCAAAATGCATTTTTTCAAACCTTGTTGCCTGGCGCTACATAATGCTTTCTTTTTCGAACCTTGTTGGCTAGTACTACAAAAATGGCTTTTTTTTTTCGAACTTCGCTAGCTGGCTCTACAAGAGCCATTCTTTTTCGAACCACGTTAGCTGGGGCTGCAAAAGACCTTCTTTTTCGAACTTTATTGACTGGGACTACAAATTAATTCTATTTTGGACATCATTGGCTGGCGCTAAAAATTACCTGCTTTTTCGAACCTCGTTGAAATAGCTCAACAAAATACCATCTTTTTCGAACCTGGTGATCTAGTGCTACTAAATGCATTCTTTACCAAATCTTGTAGGAATGACGCTACAAAATCCCTACTTTTGGGAAACTCTTTGACTGGCAATACAAATTCACTTCTTTTTCGAACTTCGTGACTTGGCGCTGCAAAATCCTTTCATGTTAAGTATGGCTTTAGCGCTGCTGCTACAAAATACCTACTTTTTCGAACCACGTTGGATGACGCAACAAAATCTCCTAATTTTCGAACCTTGATGGCTGGCGCAACAAAGTATCTTCTTTTTTAACTTCGTTGGCTGGCGCTATCATGTCACTGGTTTTTCGAACCTCATCGACTAGTGCTACAAAATGCCTTCTTTTTCGAAACTCGTTAGCTGGGTCAAAAAATCAATTCTATTTCAAACATCTGGCGCTTTTTCAAACTTTGTTGTCTGGAGCTACAAACTTCCTTCTTTTTCGAAACCCCTGCGCTGGCGCAACAGAATCATTCTTTTTCGGACATCATTGTGCTTCCGATACAAAATCCCTTCTTTTTTTTTAACCTCGATGAATAGTGTCACAAAATGCCTTCTTTTTTTAACATTGTAGGCTGGTTCTACAAATTCGCAAACAAAGAATTCTACCAAATGATAGAAACCTCATCACTATCTGTTATTTGATAGAATTCTTTGTTTGTCATTGAGGACTTTCAACAACAAAAATGGATATCACATTTAACTCGAAGAGAAAGTCAAGACATGATGAAGACGCTAACATTCCACAAAAGTTCAAACAAATGTTTAGAAAGGAACCCCCCCCATATATACTGGAAAGAGCAATAACAGTTAGGGGACTGGCTGCTCGGTCAGTATATGCGGAATGTTTCCTTATAATGTTACCGTTCCATTACTATCATTGCTTTTTATGAGCAACGGCCGCAATTTTCGACGGATTTGCACCAAAATTTATATGCACATGCTCCAAGTTAGCGGGAAGGCCAAGGCCGCTTTTGCATTTCCCAACTCCCATCGATAGTGGAAATAATCGATTTTTTCATGCTTCTACGGCAGTTTTCATGTAGTTTGCGGCCATTTTCTACTGGCCAGAGTGAGAGCCTATAGCTGGCCTATAGCTGGCTGCCACGAATAGGCAGGAAGATTCTATTGACCAGCGTGAGAGCCAACAGCTGACTGACACGAATGTTAACTAGCATGCAAAAAAAATCGATAGCTGAGAAAAATTTAAATCTACATGACACTTTACTCCAATTGGCTCATTCGCTTGCTTAAACTCAACGTTGATTCTTGGATGGGTGTGAAAAAGAATTTGCTGTTAACATTCTTTTTTCATTCGGTTTTTCCAGTTACGAGTCCTTTTTTAAAACTGATCGTTTTGTGTTCATTTTGTTTAGTTATTTTTTCGTAACAGATTTAATATTTAGTATAGAGCTTAGAAAAAATTCGCAGTGTGAGAAGGCATGTAACAACATCAGCACGGCAAAGGACACTCCTTTAAAGGCAAGGAAGGGTAAAAATATTTTAAGTCAAGTGATAGTGATTGCTCTATGAGTCGTACGATTTTTGAATCAAGCACGGGCAGCTCCGGGTCATGCTGCTAGTTTGCTAATAATTATCTCATGATTTCTGTAATTGGTAGCCGTTGGCATCGAGCGGGCGCAGCTGCGCTTCATGCCTTAACCTTTCCTGTGGTTGATCGAAAGGCAGGCGTATTTTAATAGGAAGAAGGTGTCTGAAGATTGAAATAGCATAAACATCAATCAATGTTTGAATGAACTAGCTAAAGAGAACAGATCGAAGCAGCTCATCTGACATAGGTATCTGTATTTGGGCAAAGCAGTTCATTTTCCTCTTTATTAAGGTCGACACGTTAGTATCAGGACGACTAATGTAGAATTAAGGTAGAAAATTACTAAATAAACTTTTAAAGAATGAATGGAAAAAAATAAAAACAACCCAAATAATGAAATTTCAAAAGAAAAAAGAAAGAAAGTGGAAAAACCACTGACATTTTGAAGAAAGAAAGTGTGACTTTTTAAAGAAAAAAATTACTTTTTAAAGAAAGAAAGAAAGAAAGAAAGAAAGAAAGAGCAAAATATGATACTTGAATGTAAGAAAGAAAGTAAGAATGCCTTTTGGAAGAAAGAATGTGTTATACCGGAACATACCTATTCTATTGTTAATAGACTCTCCCACATATAATAAGTAGTACTAGTAGCAGTTGCCAATGAACTCAGTGAGTTGGTGAGTCAGTCGATGTCGGACATTAAAGTATCAACCATCACAACTAGATTGCTGCGTCATTAACTATTATAACAAGTTCCTAACGTTTTGTACGTCGAACTTTTTAGGCCCGACTTAGTGAAATACAAGCCTCCATTGTGAAAACTACTCTACAACACATTGGCACGAGGGATTCGTTCTCATACGGAGGAAAAAATATTTTTCGTCCACTCTACAACAGAAAGAAAATGTAAAGAGGAATGAATTTTGAAAGAAAGAAAGAAAGAAAGAAAGAAAGAAAGCGAGAAAGAAACAACAAAGAATAGTACGTGAAAGATCTAAAGAATGACTTTTAAAAGAAAGCAAAAGAAAAAAGACCACAAAATGACACTAGAAAGAAACAAACAAAAAAGCAAACAAATTGGGAAAGAGAATGACTTTTTCAGAACGAAATAACGTGAGAAAGTGAGTAGGAAAGAAAGATTTTTTTTGAAAGAAAGAAAGAATGTCTTTTAATGAAAGAAAGAAAGAAAGAATGTCTTTTAATAAAAGAAAGAAAATTTTGCTTTTAAGAAAGAAAGAAAATGTGAATAAAATGACATTTTGAATAAAGTAAAATGTGAAAGAGTTTTTGGAACTAGAGGGGGGGAATTAAAAATGTATGAATTTCAAAATGGAATAAAAGACTAAAGAAAGAAAAAGCAAAATATGAAGAAATTCAGTGGGAAATAATAACGTTTTGAAAAAAAGAAATCAAAAGAGAAAGAAAATTATTAGAAACAAAAATGAACCCTGAACCCAGACCATGTGACTAGATCTCGTGATCAAAACCAAAGGAAGGAATCTTGTCCAAAAACGAATCTAGTATCACCGATCCATACAAAACATAAGCGCAATTCGAAGTGGGAATCACTACCATAAAAAGAAAAGCTAATTCTTTGGCCGTAACACACTGCATAAGACTTTTGCATACGCGTATGTAATGTACATGTTTATGTCTGTGTTGTGCAGAAATAACTTATATCTACTTGTGCCACTTAATGTATGTAGATGGACATGCATACATATAATCTGAATAAGTTTGAATTTCAATCAATTAATTCGTTTTCTGTGTCTTATCAACCCATTACAGGTTAGAGTCGTTTTATGCTGCTTAAAATCACCAAAATTTTGGGCACCACATATCTGTTAAGATAGATAAATAGAGAGAGAGAAAGTTAAAGAGAGAGAGAGTGTGTGTGTGTGTGTGTGTGTGTGGGTGAGAGAGAGAGAGAGAGAATATTTTGAAAAGACTCGATGCAGGAATTTTTGCGATGAGTAATTATCATTAGTATATACCTTGCTATTCAAACCTGTATACTCATCTCGATTGTTATACTCACAACGTTTCGGCTATTTATCCTTCTTCAAAAATCTCTCGATAATACTCGGTAATGTTCTCGGTCGGGTGAAGGTCAGAGTTTACAATGGCCGAAATGTTATAAGCTTATCAACCATTTGCATTAATTTTTTCTCTCTCTGTTTTTATAATTTTATTATAATTCATAATTTTATTGCTTAGTCCGAAACATTTCAATGTTTTATTTCAAACTTAGGTTGAAACACCAGTTCTGTACGATCACCTAAGTTAAGCAATGTCGAGCCTGGTCAGTATCTAGAGAAGTGAAATACCAGGTGCTGTAAGGTGTACGGTTAGTATAATGAATAATGACCCGGAATTGTTAATCAGGGAGCCGTGTTCCAATTCCCGTTGGGTTCATTATATTCACTTCCCGCAAATACCCTTGGGGAAGAAGGCATCATTCTACCTCCTCTTTCAACAACTACGGCTTAATTAGTAAGACTATTAATGAATCTGAAAATATTTTCTGGTTTTAACATGTAAAGGGTTGATAAGCCATCAAAATGGATTAATCATCTATTTATTCTCTCTCTCTCTCTCTCTCTCTCTCTCTCTCTATATATATATATATATATATATATATATATATATATATATATATATATATATATAATTTAAAATTATAGCATACTCATATCATAAAATCTCTACATTTCATTCCTCTCCTAACATTGCCGAAATAAACAATTTGAAGGTGGCTCTGACTTTGTTATATGCCTTGCCATTCACATCAGTATACTGACGCACCTGTACAATCACCGAAGTTAAGCAACATCGAGCTTGGTCAGTGCCTAGATGGGTGTCTGCTTGAGAATGCCAGGTACTGTAAGCTTGGATTTCCGGGTAGTGTAATGGATAATGGTTCGGAATTGTTAATCAGAAAAACGAGTTCCAATTCTGGTTGGGTTCGTTATATTTACTTTAACCTTGGGAAAGGTATTAATCCACCTCTTCTCACTAAATCATTATTATCTCTCAAAATAATTCTTACAATGTAAAAATATTTTCTGGCTTTAAATAACCTGCAAAGGGTTGATAAGCTGTAAAAATGAATCAATTAATCAGCATACTAATCTTGGATGTCATAATGTTATCATTTCGGCCATTGTAACCTCTGACATTTACCCGACCGAGAACATTACCTAGTATCACTGACACATTCTGAAGAAGTTAGAAGGACAAATAGCCGAAACGTTGTAAGTTTAACAGTCGAGATGAGTATACAGTTTTGAATAGCAAGACATAATAATAATAATTGCTCATCTCGAAGATTCTGATAATATAAAACGATATACAGTAGAATCTCTGACAACCGGACTAAGAAGACCTTCCGGATATGAGGAATTGGTTAAAAAGTAAATTTCCTGAAAAAGAGAATTTTCAAAACAGTTAGACATCACCCAAATAGTTCCAATATACACATCAAAATCATCTCCGGATACGAGGAATTCCGGATATAAGGGATTCTGGATATAAGGGATTCCGGATATAAGGGATTCCGGATATGAGGGATTCTGGATATGAGGGATTCTACTGTATATATCGGTCGTCTTAGTGTGTAAACAATAGACAAGGAACTACTTCGAAGGAAACAGTGAAAACTAGGTGCTATGGTCAGTAAATTCTTTTCATGTCCAACTTTCCAATAGATAATTTATTCGAAACTTAAATAGTTATTTCCAAATATGTTTCCTAAAAGTTACATATGCCTACATACAAACAGAAGGATGTACACTAGTGTGGATTCATATGTGTGTGTCCTCTGGTGTTTCTGCGAATAACTGAACATCTTTTAGTACGACTATTCGCATTGAGATAGCCTTTGATGATTCGATTTACTTCTCGAATGAAGAGAAGGTGAGGATAAATGTTGGAGAAGGTGCGAATGAATCTCGTCTAAATGAGAATGTGATGTGGAGTTGATATGACATGACGTTCTATTGCTAAAAGCCACAAATCGAAATTCCTCGCAATAAATTAGCCTAATACCGCCATTGCTCGTCAATATCTTAACAAACTATCAGACTTGGTTTCTACATTTATACAAAATTACAAAATTTCGGCCGTTGTACGCTCCAGCCTTCTTCAGGTGGTTGGAATTTCGACATAACACAGTGGATAAAGGCGTTAGTTAGATCCAGTGACAAGACCCAAAGAGTTGTGAGTTCAATACCCGGTTAAGGCAGTGGAGAACTTGGAGAGGGAAATTAACAGGAGATAACTGATAACTGACATTCATTAAACATGGCACGTGGAACTAGAACAGTCTACCCCAGTGAACGAAATAAAGGATTCAGTTCGACATTCCAATCACCTGAAGAAGGCCGGAGCGTACAACGGCCGAAACGCTGTAATAAATATGGCGACAATGAGGACAATAGTCTGAATAATGTAAATAGTGTACATAATAACTCATCTCAGAAATATAGACAGATACTGAAGAGCCGAAACGTTATAATAAATATGGTAACAAAGATGAGGACAATAGTCCGAATAATGTAAATAGTGTACATAATACTTCATCTCAGAAATATAGACAGATACTGAAGGGCCGAAACGTTGTAATAAATATGGCAACAACGATGAGGACAATAATCCGAATAATGTAAATAGTGTGCATAATACCTCATCTCAGAAATCTAGACACGCACACTTATTTATTGCAATGAACCTATTTTATACGTGGTCGCATGAAAAATTTAACCCGTAGCAGAAGTAATTGGTTTGAAGAATTAACAAATGTTCTCAACATGCTTTCGGTCGATTTTAGTAATTATCGAAAGATTTGTAAATACAAGCACAGCGGTTTCTCACTAACTGAACGAATTCTGTTACAACGAACCCGTCAATAAATGAAATGACCGCTAAAGGTAGATGTTCCTAACCGCTATTTCAGCCATACGACTCGTGTAATGAGTTTAGATCAACTATGATCCGTTTTCTTCTATGTTTGTTTTAATACTGTCTTCATCACAGCCGACAATTAGAAAAGCTGCAGTTAGAGAGAGTATCGTAGAAACAGAAGACAAGGTAGAAATATAGAAGAAATATATTAAATACTCATACATAGATCGGAAAACTTGAGTAAATCCACTACTGCTCAAATCCTACTCTAATGGGGCTACTTGCGATATTTATAAGTAGATGCAGTCCATTATCAAAATAGCAGGGAAGGGCAGGAAGTATGCTGATTCCTACTCTACAGCAATATGGCGCGTCCCTTCAGGACATCGGGGATCATGGCTATCCAAAGTTTCCTATTATTCCTGGCCCTTAACATTTTTCTCCTTTTGATAAGAGTTACGTTCCGCAATCCATTCACACAAACTCGTCATATGGGTGGCTCGCTCTCTTCCCCTATCTCTCTTGCCTTCAATATGCCCTCTGAATTTTAAAATTTCTGCGCCTTCATCATGTGCCTTAGCATTTTCAGCTGTTTTATCCTGATTCTGAGTATAAGTGGTCCTTCTGTTAACATTTGCTTTAAAACTTCCTTGTTGCTTACTCGCGCCGCTCATGGAATTTTCAGTGTATTCCTATTGAACTGCAATTCTGTTATCTCCATTTTTCTGCACATTTATAGGGAGATTGTCCATCACCATCATCCCTTTGACTTTTGAAATCGTAGGGGCTATCCGAATGCAGAAGCCACACTGAATCTCCTCAACAACGGTCTATCAACCGCGGTCATCAGCAGTCCTAGCATAGCGTTCACTGCCATATAAGAGGATGGATATCACATATCAATCCAACACCCTCCTCTTTGTTTCTAGGTTGAGAAAGCTTTAATATCGCTTTTGAGAGGAGAATTTCTTTGGTAACAAAGAAAAGAATACTGAGCTGTTACATGACATCTGTCCTTCTTTACGGCAGCGAATGTTGTACGATTTCCTCAAATATGAAGAAGAGACTCGAGGTAACGGAGATGCTAAGGATATCATGGACCGAGCGTGTGAGCAACGATGAGGTCTTAGAGAAGTTACAAACAAGGAGGAGGCTTATACTTAACGTTAGAAAGAGGCAGTTGAAGTTTCTGGGACACATAATGAGGGTTTGGAGAATCTGATACTCACGGGTCGAATAGAGGGAAAGAGAGATAAGGGAAAGCAGCTTGAGCAGACGGGTGACAGAACTTGGTCTGGGGTAGGAAGCAGAATGAAGGAACTTGCGGAGAGCTGAAAGGAATAGAGGGTGGTAGAGTGTCATGATCGCCCACGTCCTGAAAGGGTATGAAAGGACATATAATATCCTGTCAAAAAGAAAGAAAGAATGTCCCTTTTACACCATTTGTAACATTTCTAATTTATTTCTAAATGTTTAAGAAATACAGTCGTGTATTGAACAGTAAACGTAATAAACAAATTCTAAAATCAGCTCGAGATTCTGTATATTACTTAGATAGATAGATAGATAGATAGATAGATAGATAGATAGATAGATATCAACAGACTGAAATAGATAGATAGATGGATATGAAGAACTGAAATAGATAGATAGGAACAGATAGATAGATAGATAGATAGATAGATAGATAGATAGATGTATTTCTATTCCACTATTTGACCTCTCAAAATTTTAACAAATATTTTCTTTTTGAAACAATTCTTTCCTGTCCCTAGATGACGAATTTTCAATTTACTAAATCTCTTAAGAAATAAAATTGTCCATTTTGACGATAAAAAAGTTGCATCATAATTTTTAAAAGGGATAGCGTCGATGTTTTCCACTTCTCTCCTGGCTCGTAGAAGAGTTGGCAAAACTCGAAAGATTTAGTCATTTATTAAACAAATTTATTTGTGAAATGAAGACGAAACTGTGGCAGATTTCACTTCCTTTGATGCAGCAACGAAAGGAAAGGAAAACAAAAAATAAAAATCTGCCAAAATTTTTTAACACATTCGCTTTTAATAAAATAACGAAAACTGAAAACCTAATGACAATAAAAAGAGAGTAACAGTTCGAAAGCAGTTCCAAATAGATATGACTGGGCAGGAAAGTGTATCTACAAGGAACTGTTCAAACTGCTAGAATTTTACCATTAACACTAACGATATATGTACAAATCAGAAGCTGGCATAAAGGTCAGAAAATAATAAAACTGACAGTAATTCCCATCATTAATGGATGACTTGGAACAGTTCTGTCTGAGAGAAATGAAGTGAAAACATATCTGATAATGGATGGCAGTCTCTCAGTATACCAAATAGATAAATTGAAAGAAATGAACAAAATTTTAAAAATAGATAGATAGATAGAATATGAAAGACTGAAATAGATAGATATGAACAGGTTGAGATAGATAGATAGATAGATATATAGATAGATAGATGTATTTATGTTCAACTATTTAACCTCTCGAAATTTTAACAAATATTTTCTTTTTGAAACAATTCTTTCCTGTCCCTCGATGACGAATTCTCAATTTACTAAATCTCTTAAGAAATAAAATTGTTCATCTTGGCGATAAAAAGTTGGATCATAATTTTTAAAAGGGATGTTTTTTTTTTAAATTTTTAAATTAAATTAAAATTTTTAAAAGTCGATGTTTTCCACTTCTCTCCTGGGTCGTCGAAGAGTTGGCAAAACTCGAAAAATTTAATCATTTTTTAGACAAGTTTATTTGTGAAATGAGAACGAAACTGTTGCAGATTTCACTTCCTTTGATGCAGCAACGAAAGGAAAGGAAAACAAAACGAAGAAATAAAAATCTGCTAAAAATTTTTTAACACGTTCGCTTTTAATATAACAACAAAAACTGAAAACCTCATGACAATAAAAAGAGTCAGTCAGTTATGTACCATGCCTGATACATGCATAGGTGATCACGTATCTTTCAATACATGACTGACGAGTCAAATTCTTCCCGCAGTAGGTTGCCATTTCTTTCTGCGGTAGACCAGTCGCTATCCAAGACTATAGAACCCGATCTGACCTGCTATTTACCCAAAGCTGGTGGGGGAGAAGAGAATCCATGCCTTTTCAAGGGTATTAGCAAGTGAATGTAATGCCTCCTCCTCCATGCACTACACGTTTCCTCCATGCACTACACGTTTCCTCCATGCAGTACACGTTTCCTCCATGCAGTACACGTTTCTATTTATTATTTATTCATTTTGATTATTTTGATTCATGTTGAAGAAAGTGAAACCCCTTACAATCAAAGTTTTGTACAACGTAAAATTCGACTGATTTTTTTTTTTTATATTATGAGATTTTGTAACTGATCATAAGTCCGAGGTAATTAAACAGGTAAATCGTTAAGAAAGGAGTGATTGTAATTAGTAAAAATTTCGGTAATTTTAGTACAAATATCTAAGTTATTTTTTTTAGTCAGTTTAACTCCAACAGTATTAAAACATATGGAATTAACACATTAATTCCGTCTATATTTTACGCGCGCGCGAGTTTTCCTCCCTTCCTTTCACACTCGTGCGTGTGTGCGTGCGGTTTGCACCCCTTCCTCCCTCTTACAGTTAGACGTCTCAGTAATCTGGAGGAGGAACTTCGCTAGCTCCTGCTGATGAAGTCAGCCGGAATGATTTTGAATTTTTTTCCCGCGCGTTTTCTTGGCGTCACGAACGCTAGCGTTCCTAATCAGTTGCCTCCCGACTTTCGACCTAACTAGACGAGCAACTCATTTATTTCGTGCCCTTAATCCATATGCGGGCCGGAATATCTTATTTCAGCAATGTCGGCCTCACACTTTACCAAGACTTCTTCTCGTCTTGACGTTGCCCGCAGGCCAACCAGTTGTTTCCCGATCTTCAACCTGACTAGACGGGCAACTCATTTATTCCGTGCCCTTAACCCATATGCGGGCCGGAATATCTTATCTCAACAATGTCGACTTCACACTGTACCAAGACTTCTTCTCGTCTTGAAGCTGCCCGCAGGTCAGACCTTCTCCGTTTTCGACCAGAAGACGTTCGAGACACACGACACAGTCGTGAGCAAAACTTCGTATTCAACAAGTGGCTTATTTTTATCCCTCGTCAGTCAACCTTAAATACAGACAGGGATATCTTACTGACGAACAAACTTGCTACCCGCAGGTCAGACCTTCTCCGTTTTCTGATAGAAAATGTGCGAGACACACGACACAGTCGTGGGCAAAACTTCGTATTCAACAAGTGACTTATTTTATCCCTCGTCAGTCAATCTTAAATACAGACAGGGATATCTTACTGACGAACAGATATTCTTCGTCCCTTCTGGACTCGCCATAAGTAACTTCACATAGACGATGCAACCAACTGCAAATAACTCTTCGTCCTTTTGGCTAGACGTCCACATCAATCCGTTAAAATTTTCAACAGTTAATTCAAGGCCTGACCAAACTCTGAGACGACTGAACTTTCTCACTACTTTGAACCTGAACATAAAAAAAGATAAAAAAAAAAACACAAAATCACATACACTCTCAACGCCAAAAAAATCCACAGTGAGTACTCCTTTCTATCTGTGCGCACATACACCTCGTGTTTAACGAGTTCCTTTTTTTCCAGAACCTTATAAAACTCTTTTTCCCGCCTTGTTCATCTTGCTTTCCTATTTTGGCGCGGAACATTTTTTCTGATCTCGTACCACGAGATACCTACTTGTTTTCCATCTAATAAAAATTACACGTTTTGCATCCAGACGCATTTGTCATTTTATTCCGGCTATCTCTTTGATGTTTATAATTTATGCACTTGTTGATTGACCCCTTTCCTCTCACTGTTCATTCACGCATATTTATTTTTTTATACATTGTTTGTGGACTCGGTAGTTTAGTGTGGTGTCTGGCACAAGGCCACTTTGTAATAAACCAGCACTGCACGCTGCCGGGTCTTCAACAAACACAACTCATTTAAAATAGAAAATATCTTTACTTTCTTATTATTAATTAGCGCAAAATTTACTTTTTAAAACATTTTTTTTACACATTTTTTAACATTTCCTTGGCTTAATAAATAATTTTGTTGATATTTATCAATGTACAGACAAACCTCTCATCAACAGACTAATAGGGAGGGGGTCCGTTAAAGCCAACTGTCTGTATATGGGTAGGGGTTATTTTTGAGTTATGAAACCACTATAGTAACTACCAGTAGCTATGTAAATACTATAAACATGTATATATATGACATAAATAAATATGTACTTAATATAGATATATTAATCAAAATAACAAAAATAATAGATTTCTCACAGCTATTTTCTCACGCACACGCTAATGTATCGTACTTTTCGTCTTTGTTTACAATTGAAAGGACTGCTAACGCCGCCAAGCGGTAAACTTTGAGAACCAATACGACTCGTTCCACTAAGCCCGCATATTTTGAAATACATCGCTGACGATTTGGAAGTTTGTTTTTTGTTTTTTTTCCTGTAGATATTTTTTTTATTTTGCCTGCAGATTTTGTCTTTTGCATCCGAAGTCCGTTGATGGGGATGGGATCTGTAGATGAGAGGTTTGTCTGTATTTTTTTATTCGAATTCATTTACAATGTCAAAGAACTTCGATAACATTTAAAAATAGAATTATCACCTAAAAATCGAAATATAAACTAAAAACAGAATAGCCAGCTAAAATGAATATCAACTGAAAATCGAATTATTTGTTGAAAATTGAATTACCAGATAAAAAATAAAATTATCAGATAAAAAACAAATTCTCACCTAAAACATCGAATTATCATCTCCAAATGTAATTGCAACTAAAAAAAAATTCAACTAAAAATAAAATTATCAGCTAAAAAGAGAAATATCAACTAAAAACAGAATTACTAGCTAAAAATTAAATTATCTGCTAAAAACAAATCATCTATTAAAAATCGAATGTTCAGCTAAAAATCAAATTATCAGCTAAAAACTGAATTATCATTTAATTAATCATGAGTAATTCAAATGCAATTATCAGCAAAATTATATGAGTATCAACTAAAATGGAATTTTCAGCTAAAAATCGAGATATCAAATTATAAAAAATACTAGCTAAAAGTGAAATTATCAGGTAAAAGTTGAATTATTTGTTAAAAATCAAATTATTGGCTAAAAATTAAATTCCCACTTTAAAAAAATCGAGTTATTTGCTACAAATTTAATTACCAGCAAAAAAAATAGAATTATCAACGAACAATAATAACTTAAATAACAGACATTTCTTTTAATTTCACAATGTTTCTGCGACAATTCCAGAAAGGAATTTCTGTGACATTTTCCAGAAAATGCCCACCGTACACATTGAAAATTTCGTAACAATTTCGGCAACGAATTTTCCACAATTTATTTGGCAAATGTTTCCACAATGAATTTTCTGCAAAATTCCTTCACGTTAGATTGTCCATAACATTTTTTGTGACGAATTCTCCGCGACGTTTACCGATTTTCAGTTACGAATTTTCCACAGATTTTTTGGTACGAATTTTTCTGAAAAGTTTCTGTAATTTTCCACTCCATTTTTTTAGGCATTTCACCCCAAGCAAGGCGGGGGTGCCACTAGCACGTAAGGGGTTACAGAGAGTGAGAGTAAGAGGAGTGTTTGAGGAAAGGATAAAGAGAAGGACGGGTCTCAAGATCAAGCCATCAGATATCGATTAACATTACATTTGAAGATTATAGCTATCAGGGAAGCAAGTAAGAGGAAGGGAGTTCCACTGTTCGGAAGTGCGAGAGAAGAAGTTGTTGGAGTAGAAGAGGTGGTTACATTTAACTGTTTTACCGGAGAATTTTCAGCGTCCATTTCTCACTACGAATTTTCCACAACATTATTCTCGGGGAATTATCCAGAAAATTTTTCTCGGCGATTTTTGCAGATTTTGTACGATGAATTTTTTAGATTATTTTTCGTAACGGATTAATCCTACAGCTGTTCCGATGCGCAATTTTCTGTAGCAGATCACGTCTCTCCACAATTTCCTTTCCTTTATGATTTGCCAGGACCTCTTGGGAAATCGACTTCCTCTTGATTCTTAACGAATTCTCATAGAACTCAGTTTTCCATTCCTTAGAATAGCTGCCATTCAAGGCTTCTGAAACCAGCTTCATCTAGCCTTTAACCCTTTGCTTAGAGGAGAAAAGAGAAATTCATGCCTTCAGGGCGTTTTTGTAAAAAAAAATATATCGCCACTGACTAGGTTGGAGTTCGACCACTGATCACCTATACCACTTACGGCGCTTATATCCGTTACACTACTTGCTACAGCGCGTATTACGCACCGTTATCATTAATATAATTACAATTCCTTCTTTCCATTCTTTCAAATAAGGTCATTTGTCTAGTGTTACTGTTACTATTCATTTTTCTTCCCTGGTGCCAGTTGTATGTATTCGACAAATAAGTAGTTTGATCGGAACGTATTTGCAAAATCTATTCTCAGAGAAGAGAAAAGAAATCTATTTCTTCGCAAAAAGTTTCCTTCCTTTCAAAGACGCTATTATTTTTGTGCCGCTTCCTCGACTGGTAATGGTAATTTACTTACCAACGTGTCTCTTTCAATCGAATAATATCATCTCTAATTTCTCTCTATCCATGTCAATATGGATCTGCCTACGTATATTCGGATTTCAGTATTCACTGAATTACTGAAGCCCATATTTTTATATCACTAAGCATTGTTTTCATCATTTCTCTTCAAGCAAGGTAATAAAGCCACTAAGACACATGGATTTACTGAATATTAAAGAACGTGAGAAAAAACACTATTAAGGAGAGACAAAAAATAAGAGAGCAAGAATTTAAAAGACATGAGATAACAATTGACACTGCATTTAAATTTTTGAAAAAAACTGAGAAGCAAGAAGCCTGAAGAGAGTTCTACAAGCGTGAAGAGCGATAGAAGAAACTGTTAGCATAGAACTTACGGTTACATCTCGCCATTTTAACCGTAACATGATTAGACCTTGATGCCAATCTAGTAATAGGTTTAAATTCATAAAATCTTGGTGGTTAAAATACTTTTCCTTACCCGTATTCTTGTTCCATATAGCAACAAGTATTTTTCCGTACTTGTTCACTAAATATGAATTTCCCAAATCCTTTTAACTCCAGTTACAAATCGTATGAGTTCCTGAATCCTCGTTACTGTTATAAGTTCCAAGAGTTCCTAATACTCGTCACAACAGTTATAAATCGCCCGAGTTTCGAATCCCTCGTCGCCAGTGTTATATGCGCTTCGTAGCGCTTATAATATAAGTAATGCTTGGACAATTGCCATGGCGCCTGTATTATTTAGTCTGATGACTGACTCCAAACGTCTTCTTATTCTTCTTACCGCTTACCTTGAAGTCTTTATTTATAGTTATGGACAAGACAATATAATCACCGGGTGTGTACTCTTTACTCACAACAGACAGATATGAACAGAATGATAGATATGAACAAAATGAGATAGATAGATAGATAGATAGATAGATAGAACTCCTTTTGCCGCCTACACCCAGTGGTGTAACCATACTTAGTGGTCCTGTCCTCGAGGTCTTATGACGACGTTTTAACCGTAACGCTGGTCAATGATGACGCTGGTCCAAACTGGTTGTTTGTCGCTAGTTGTGTTCTTGATGTCAGGGCAGTGGAAGATTGAAGGTCATAGTAATCGTAGTGCTTCTTCAAGCCGTGGCCGGTGCTATATTTGTAGGTAGAAAAATATCTTCACAACAAAAATAAAACGTGAGATTCATGAGATCAATCTTAAATTGGTTTATATCGCTCTTCGTACAACAAAAACCCTTCCCGCATCAATCACTATAGGAAAACTGGGCCTCGTCTAAAAGTCTGGAGGAGTTGAGTTCAAAGTTCTTTAGAATCAGGAAATGTGGTGGCAGCTAACGTGGATTCCAGAAGCACTCGATGAGGGTTCTCAGCCCTAAGTCTCTAAGCTTCCAAAGTCCCCTGCTTATATACACTTCGGCCCAAAACTGGCCTGGGGGGCAGGTTCTGGAAATACGGTGATTCCCCAATTATCACATTAATCCCAAAAGGGTATTTTTTTTGTTCCCTATTTCTGCTTTCATAATCAATTTTCCAAATTTGGAGAATTGTCCACTCTCATTTGGGAGTAATCACAGGTATTGCTTCTCCCCTAACTCCAACCTGCTCTACTTCATATCTTCACACATTTTCATATTCAGCGGGTTCATTCTATGTTTTCATTTCTCGATCCGTTTTCGCCAACGAAAATATAGTTCCCATCTGTCTCTCTTCTCGTTAATGATTATAATTTCTCAAAAAAGAGATAAAGTAGTTGTTTAATCCGCATGCCAGATTTTCGAGAGATAAAACAAAACTAAACTCTTGGTGTATCGTTGCAATTCGTAGGGGTGGAAACAATCCAGGTGGCCCTATTTTCACTTCCACATTACCAGATGAAATATCTTCTATTCTCTCTCTCTCTCTCTCTCTCTCTATATATATATATATATATATATATATATATATATATATATATATATATATATATATATCTTCCAGTATATACTTTATCTTAGGCTTAAGACCTTTTCTGCTCAGAATTAACATTTAATCACCTCACAGACTCAGTGTCACATAGATATTAACAGAATGAGATAGATAGATAGATAGATAGATAGATAGATAGATAGATAGAATGAGAAAGATAGAAAGACAGACAGACAGACAGACAGAGAGAGGTATTACATAGACAGATTGATATGAACAGATAGATAGATAGATAGATAGATAGATAGATAGATAGATTGTTTGGCTTGCTTTGGTTTGGTTTGGTTTGGTTTATGTCATATCAACCTCAATGGATTATTTAATCCCGACAAAATTTTTGTTACTGGTAATATTTTTTCCTTCACAAATCTATTTTCGGTAATATTTTTTTCTTCAAAAATGTATTGCTGGCAATAATTTTTTAACAAAAAGTATTTCTGGTATTAAAATCTATTTTTACACTTTCATAGTGTTTTGACCCCAGTTTCGGGTTAACTATTTTCCCATAGCTGGGACCCTAACAGGTTCTACCACCCCGGGCCAGGTGAACCTGGGAACACCACCAATTAAGAGGTTCTCAAAACCTCCTGATCAGAGGCCTTGCTGTTGAACATAGTTTATCGTCATACCCAGGACTGAGATAGATAGATAGATAGATAGATAGATAGATAGATAGATCATGACTATTTCTCGCTCATAGACTCTCCTCCGGCTTCTTGCTTTCGTCAACTACGATCTTCAAAACTTAATTGCAACATCAATCATAATCTCCCGTCTCCTTAAAATCTGTTCTTTTATTGCCCTCTTCTATTTCCTTCACTCTCAGTGACCCCTTGTATCTTAATGGCTTTTATCATCTTTCTCGTAGTGAAATGATTAAAAAGAAAGAAGAAATAATATATTAAATACGCGCAATATTTTTCTCTACTCCTTTAAATGCGTACTTTGAGAAGAAAATATTCACGTACTCATTCGAAATATTATTTTGCAATAAATAATGTTTGTTAGCTTTTTATATGGTACTTACATTCGTCTAACCGAACGAAAAATGAAACAGCACAATGTCGATGAAACAGGACAACACAAACTCCGGTTTGTTCTTCACAAAAAGCTAGAGATTGCCTATTTTCTTTTTTATTTGATTAGTTCAGATGCATTTGTTTTGTGATGTGATCAATAAAAAGAATGAGAAATATCGAAAATACTTTGTCTAATGTCTTCTTTATAATCATATCCGTTATTATCCGTCTGCAAAATGATAATCCTACTTCCGATTTTGTGATGTAGAAGTAGACATCCTTCATTTTATTTTGCTAAAGATTTATGATAGGTTAATTGCAAAATAATGTCAGATTTTAGAACAAAATATATTTTCAGTTCAAACTCATCCCTTGTCTTTCGAACAGGAGTAGAGGTTTATCCCTTGTTTCATGTTTAAGATTAGATTTCTGGTTCCTTCTAAATTCTTTCCCTTCTCTTTCAATTATAGTAGTGCCTTAGTTGTGTTTTTGCCTTGTTTGGGTTGAATTGATAAAAAAAACAAGTTTCACAAACTTATACAGGATGAGGCAAAAGTCGTACACCATAGGGGTTAATAGATCGGTTAGAAAAGGTCTTGTAAAGTGGCCACCGAGGTTACCAGACCTGACAGCCTTGTATTTATTTCTATATGGTCATTTGAAATCAGTTGTTAATCAGATAAGACTCAAGAAACTTTGAGGACTTTGAAGAATGAATTAAATATGAATGCAGTAAAATGACAGAGAAATCGACATGTTGATGAATCATGCAGGCACAGAATTGAAATGTGTTATGAAGAAAAAGGAGGACATTTTGAAAATCACATATAACAATTAAATACCTAGTAAATAAAAATTTTCATGTGTAATTAAACTTAACACCTTAAAAAAGACATTGTGTCACAACTCGTCTCGTGAGGAGACAGAGTAAATACCTACCTAATAAATTATCCCTATGGTGTGCGAATTTTGCTCCACCCTCTATAATTCATTCTTAATGATTAAAATGTCGTCTTTGTAAATTATATATAAACCTTTTTCAGAATTAAAGTTAAAACATTTTATATCCCTTATCTTGAACACGAAAAAAGGTGTTTACATCTTTTGTATGAGTTCAAGATTGGTCATAATTATTTTCAAACTGCAGCCAATATTATCAGAGCATGCTGTGAATTAGCAACTTATCGATCCGGTGGTGGTTTCTGAAGTTCCGCAGTAGGGATACGAGTCTTTATGATCAATGTAGTAGAGGACGTTCATCTGCAATTGACGATCAACATCTGGAAACAGAAATCGAACAAAGCCCACGTCAAAATGTCAGAGCAAATATCTCCGATATTAGGTGTCAGAATTTAAAGAATATCGGACCATCTCAAGACAATTGGCATGGTGAAGAAACACGATAAATTGGTTCCACATGAACTCAGTAAAAGTCAAGGAGATCCCCATGTATATTTGAATTGATGAAGAAAAATAAATTCTATTTATTACGGAATAATTTCCAAAAATTCTATAAAATCTTAGAATTATTTGATGCTTCCTCCCATTTCAGATCTATTTTTAGAACTTCATTGCTTTATTGTTTTCATTTCGGATTTTATAAATAGCGGTGGAGTAATGTTTACATGCTCGGATTGAGGAATCGGAGATCCGAGTTCGAATTCAGTCAAGTTTATTGCATTCATTAATACCCTTCGGAAAGGTATAAATCTATCTCTTTTCCACTTAACTATTGGTAAAATAGCAGGATAGACTTGGTCCTATAGCCTTGGGTGGAAATCAGTCCAGGAGAAGGAAAACTCTTAATTCAAACCACCTGATACATTGTAGGTCCTGCCTCTTTAGGTAAAGACTAGAAGGAGGTAACTTCAAAAACAAAAAGATAAAAGATAATGGAGTGTTTCCCGTTGACGTCACAACGTTTTGGAATTCAAAGATTTCCTTTTCTCAGAGTGATTGATATCCAAGGCTAGAGAAACCAATCTATCCTGATATTTGCTGAGTGGAGAAAAAAATTGTGTCAAAACGAGCGCAATAGGCTAGCCCTAAATTTGAACTCCGTTCGACGATTCCAACGTCCACACCGTAACCACTACACTACCAATATATATATATCACCTATTATTACCTCTTATTTTGCTTTTATTTGATACAGTTTGATCTCTCTCTCTCTCTCTCTCTCTCTCTCTCTCTCTCTCTTGATAGATAGATAGATAGATAGACTGACATCGGGAGAGATGAACAGATAGATAGATATGAACAGAATGTGTTTGCTCTCTCTCTCTCTCTTTCTCTTCCTATCTCTATACAGCTCTCTCTCTCTCTCTCTCTCTCTCTCTCTCTTTATATATATATGAAAGTGAACATTGAAGTCAGTACTCAGAGGCGACAAGCTGTTTCATACTAGACGCGATCGTCAGGCAGATAGATAGATAGATATTTGGGCATCAACTTTTAGACAAAGAAAATTTATTTATTTTTTATTTAGCCTTTTATTTTTTTTTATGTGCCTTTTCTTAGGTTGAAGGTCACATCTAGAAAATCTACTTCGTTTAGGTTAGTTTTTATATCTCTGTCAAATCCGTTATTTTTGAAAATCTTTATTATCGCTTTTTTAGTTTTGTCTGTGTTTTGTTTGTTACAGTTTCTTAAGATTATGAGACTGTCGCCCCTGTAGAGTCCTGTGTCATTTCTATCTATTATTTTGCTTAGTTCGTGTAGTAAGTAAATACCTATGACTTCGCATGTCGATTTCTTTGGGTTCTTTTTATTATTTGTTCCTGAGCTAAGTTGATAGCCCTATCTAGCATGCGTTCTGTTATGGATGGGTAAAATTCTTTTATCTCTAATTGTAGGAATTGGCATTTTCTTTTGTTATATATATATATATATATATATATATATATATATATATATATATATATATATATTATAATTTTGTTTGTTTTAATTATATATATATATATATATATATATATATAGGGTATGATGGATATATTGTCCTCTAAATTACGCAAAAATGAAAATAACACTGATATTGCATTTTAACAGACAACTTCGGAATCTCCTGCAACTCTTCTAAACGGTTTCCTTGTTTAAGTTGGTGAATGCTGCCATAATCCTTGCCTTCAGTTCAACTTTGGCATTACAATAAGTTTTATTTGTCTCTCGCCTAACTACGCCCCGCACATAATAATCAAGGGTGGGGTTACAGTCTGGGGAGTTAGCTGGCCAAATGTAAGGGGTAATGTGGTTTCAGAAATGATCTGACAGCCCTGACCGGATTCTCTTGCTTGTGTGGCATGGTGGAGAGTGCTTTTTGCTAGACATAGGATCTTTCATCAGCCATCTTCTTGAGCCAGGACAGCACTACCTCTTCAAGGCAATTGATGTAGGCCTCTGTGTTGAGTCTGAGGTTCTGTGGGAAGAGGTATAATGTCGCCATACACTGGTGATCACTCCAAGCATATTCGTAATCACCATTAGATTCATCCAACTCTTTTCGAATCCTCTGCACTGCCCTCAAATTTGCGCGAAATTGAAAATATAAAATGGCGACAATTTACTCATCGCACCCTGAGTGTGTGGGGGGGGGTGTGCATATATATATATATATATATATATATATATATATATATCTTTTTCCAGATATGAGAAATCATCTTGTATTCAAAGTTTCAAATTTCAATGTAGATTATAACTTTCTTATGTTCCTCTGTCACATATGCAACGGATGGTTTGTTTGTACTTCCTGCCACAGCTGCATGGAATGTTGTACATGCAGTCCTTGTTCATGTTTTCTTTAAGCGGTAGTTTTACTTGATTGAGCCATCTGCATTGCGCTTCACAATGTAGGAATTGAAATAAACATAAGAAAAAGTAACTGAAAAACAGAAACCGGAAATGAAACTGAATAAACTAAGCTAATATTTCTTTGCCTTCTTTCCGGAAAGAAAAATTCTACTGACTTCTGATATAAAAGAGTCAGGGTACAAGATCACGTATACGCACCACATAACAAGCTTAACACCGATTCCTTCTGAAAACGTTAAGATTTCTTTCCGAAATAAATAGGAAAGGCTGGCGCTGTATTATCCCCTCCTCATTAACATATTCTTATTTTACTGTGAGTTTCTCCTTTCATTTTCAATCTAATGAAGACCATTTACTGAAAATGAGATAATATTTTTGAATAACAAAACAAAAGATTACAACGGGTTTCGTTAAATATTGACATTTACCAAGAAAAGATATGATAAAAAGTAAGTTAAATTAATTTAAATATTAGGGTGTTCGGAAATTTTTGTTGTTAATCATTTCCCCCCAAGCAAAGGAATAAAAGGGATTCCACAAAGTAACAGCTCTTGCGAAGTAGCTATCCGAATTGAACTTCCTCCTTACTAATGCAATACGAAGTGAATGAAGATGGTTCGCTTCAGTGTACGGGCGTAGCGGATCTTTGTTGGGAGGGTTACAATTAAGGAATTTTATTAAACATTTCACCCCAAACAAAGGAATAAAAGCTATTTGGATGAAAGAAGGTTACTGAGAATGAAAAACAAAAAACACAGATATTAATAAAAGAATAAAATTCAAGAAGAGATGGCGGCTGATGCTTTATTTAAATTTTTGAAGATCGTAGTTTACAGGAAACCGAAAGAG